ATTGTCACCTGTGGACATTTTAAACTGTTTTACATATTCGTGCAGAGGCATAGCCTCTAAAGAAAGGTTGTCTCTGCAATGGAAATAGTTGTTCCTGGTGATTAGACATGGCAAGTAAACTTGGACTCGTATCCAGATCAATTTTATGTTTTATTAAAATTACTCAGATATTATTGTTTTTTGAATTTGTCATTGGAATTTTATGTAAAAATTATTTTTAATTAAAATATGTATAATTTAAAATAATGTGTATAGTAATTTTTGTTAAATAATAAATTTTTAAAATAATTATATTAAAAGAGGGGCAAACATATAAAAATTAATCTTTGTGCATGAGAATCAATTATATAAATTGATTTTCACATGCAGGGTGTAAAGGTCAATCAAAATTTTGATTTATTCTTGAGCTCTAGAAATGTGACGAAAGTTCTTACAACTCCTACCTTCTGCAACTCTAGAATTTCATAAGTCTGGCAATTCCCACTGACTTTTCTATAAATATTTTTTATGCTGTTTGATGATGCCATTCTATAAGTGTCTTTTGAGAAAATGTAGTGCAAATAAAAAAATTTATCAATAATATTCCATCTATATTTTGATAATAATTTCTAAAAAAATTTCCTGAATACTAAAAAAGGTTTAAATGTTAGAGCAACTGAATGTCGCTAATACTTATAACTCGATTTACGGAATAAAATTGTTTTCGACAACTTTTACAGTTTAGCGGTCATATATATATAATGATCATATATATATATATAATGAGAAAAAAGAGAATCTTAGGAAGCAGGATGTAGTTTAGTTCTTTCAGTTTGTATATCTCCTAAATTTAAATTTTCTACTGAAAGAAATGAAAACACTTTTGAAATCTTGAAATTCAGATTAGTTTTTATATAATTTCAAAAATGTCTGTATCAAATACAGTAAAATATTTTAAAATGTGATTTCAGTTTAAACTACAGGTTAGTTTTGAAAGCTGCTTCCTCTATAATTTTCAGATTGGTGGATTGCTGAATATATACAATGTTGTTGTACGCGTATAGTAGGATTAAGAATAAGAATGATTGGGCTAAGGCAATGTAACAGGAGGGTAATCTGCAACCTCCCAAGAGGAATATTTATGGGAAACTGGCTTCTGTTTAGGTGTTAAGTAGCGCCATCTGTTAACACAGTGTAGTACTACAATACTACTTTTAAACAGTTTTGATTAGATCGTGTACAATGTGTAATTTCATTGGCACAAGTGCCAAATAAGATAAACCGCTACTCAGCTGTATAAAAGTAAGGAAATATTAAAGCAAATAATAAAAGTAAGGAGGTTAATTATCAGTACCCTACGATCATTTAAGATACACAAATGTTCGAGGTCTGTACCAGCGATCTGTTAGAAGGAAATAGCAATTGTAATCGATAAAAAACTTTTTAAATATTTATCAGAAATTACAAATAAAATAAAATAACATGTTAAACAGCTATGTTCAATCCATTGTAAAAAAACTTAATAAAAAATTTAATACAGTGAAAGTTTGTTAATTTGTTACCCAATAATTCAGAATGTTCAATAATCTGGCATTCTCTGAATATTAGCCAATGATTTAAAATCTTTGAATAATAATTCGACATGCTAATATCTCGAGAATTAGCACTTGTTTGGACACTTGGGGCACTAAAAACATAGAGCAGAAATGTAGGCTAAATGTAGAATTCAGTCGTTCGGTTGTGAAATGTCGGGAAATAGATCATATGATCTAGCGCTATTTTACATTTTGTACCAGTGTTCCGGTAAAAATTAGTTCTATACCTACCGGATTAGATTAACTTTTACTGTAGTATGGTGAAACCTGAGTTTAGCACACACTTTAGCGATTGGAGACCGTCTGTTTTACAAACATCCATAAAACTTATCTTATACTTTAAAAGATCAGGCAGTGTTTTAAATATTCAATACACAACTTTTTGTAGTGAAGAATCGTGTCTTGATTTGGTTTTAGTAATTTACAGCAAGTGCAGCCAAATTGTACATTCATTATTGTAGAGAAAATTGTGAAATCACTGCACAATTCTATTGTTTAGACACGATTGGTGTTCAGGCCCATCTTTGATGATGATCGTTTAGTCCAATTGTGTGCTGGTGTTTGATGTAAACAAAGTAAACTAATGAAGATTAGTAGTGAAAAAGATTTATGCAATTGTTCCTGGTGTAATAAGAGAGTGTGAAGATGCTCATGATCATCATGATTTGCTATCTTTTTTATGTAATTTTCAAATGAAACGATTGTAACTGTGTTATGGTTTACAGAAATTACTCCTGAATATTTTTGCATTTCCCGATGTTTCAGGTGTCTTAAACCCAAAAATATAAAAATTATGGAAGTTTATTTTTTAATCGCTAGCATTTATAATTTATCCATATGTAGTATTTGCAATTTTAAGAGATTAATATCCACGGGATTCGGACGTATTTAAAATTACAACAACGGATATGCACTTGTACCCAGAATTGAATTTTCACCTATGGTTCTTTTATGAAAGCACATAGAAATTATATGCCACTTAGGATTGCTTGAGAATTTACGTTATGCCGAAATGCACGCGTAGAAGAGAGAATTGAATAATTAATAGTGGGTGGTTAAATAATTGGATATTTGTTTTGCTGTGCGAAATACTATACTTGACATAATTGCTAAAACTTCTTTTAGCTGTTGCCTTCATTACAGGAATTGTCAGCGAAATTCTCATTGTTACACCTATTTGTAGTTATATTTTGCAAATTGCTCGCTTTTAAAAATGTTAGTGTTTCTTAAAACGAAGTAAGTTTTTTCGAAGTAAACTGTTTGTAAACTTAATTTTTTCAGAGTTCGTTTCTTTCAATGTCACTAATAATATCATTATTAAGAGTTGATCGCAAAGCCATACAATGTTTTCTTAATTAGTTTAAATCGCCTATTTTAGTAAATTAAACAGGAAATCCATTTTTTTCATAAGTTATTATTTGTTCAAATCTTAAAACCAGTAAGCACTAATAGTCAGTCGTCGTCAACAAACCAGCTGGCCAAGTACAGTTTTCCAGGTTTCTACACTTCAGTATCACTTAGATAGAGTCCCATATAAGACCTCTGGAAAGGCATTATTCTTGGCAGATTGCCCATGTATTTCATTGCAGTACACACAAATAAAACCAAACTGAAGACGATAGATAATTGTCATTGTTAGAGATTGAAAAATATACTCCATACGATTTCTTACCCTATGGACCTTGCACACGTGTACTAGACTCAAACCAATGGAGAAGCATGTGACGATTTGAAGCTGGAGTTTCAAGGCTGGATCTCAAAGGCATTGAATACCCATGCCAGAGAGATTTCTTGGATGCAGCAGCATTATACCAAAATTGGTAATGCTTCGAGAAGATCTTAGAGTAACAATGCCAATTAATGGGCATTATTTAGTTTCAATCATGAGGTGGCACAAAATGTACCTCCAGGCAATGCACTACCGGTTGTGTTCAGAGCTCTCCGCAGTCATTGGGGTATACAGTAAGATTCGTGATCTATGCTTTTATGCCAGAAGACCCATGGTTTGCATGTGTGTTATCTTTTGTCACAGGAGTCATTGTATCAATTTCTGTAAATTTGTACTTTTTACAGAGGAGTTGAGATTCTATTTGTAGTCTGATTTCTTCTAGAAGGAACAAGGAACCTTCTATATCTCTTCACACATCAGAGAGAGGCGACGTCTTTGAAGTCGGCAGATTTTTGGCATAAGAGGGGATTATTCTAAATGGCTGCACGGCCCTTTACGTGTTTAACAGAGAAATTTTGAATGTTGTATGGTGCAGATATAACATTTCATTTCCTGTTCTGCTTTATTGAGAAATTGTTGTCTTCACTTTACTCAGAATGAACATTAATTGTGACTTCCCATGGCTCAAGTTATTGATAATTTCCTACAAAGCAAAATCATTCATAGAATGGAATGACCTGGCAGACCTCCAGATCGAACCCAATAGAAGATATTCGTGACCACCCGGGAAGGCCAGTTGCAAGTTGTCAAACATAACTTACATTACGAGTTAAGAATGATCTTCATCAGAGTGTTAAATTTTTTAAATCAAGAAGTTAAGTAATTTTCGTTGTCATTGCTTGTCTTGTAAATTTTAAGAGGTTATCATATTTATTACGAAACGTTTTGAAAATATTCAATTTGTTGAATATTTTCAAAAACTTTTACACATATAATAAATAAATTCGGAATTATAATAAAATATAAAACTGAATTAAATTCATAACAATAACAGAATNACAATTCCAAGAGCAAACACTAATTTTTTTGCACTAATCGTTCAGCAAAAGAGTTGCAGAGAAGCAGAACTGCGACTTACATTTCGTTAATTTCTGAAATGTTCTAGCAACGTCTATAAATATGTTTATAAACCTGGTTCTAGAAGCTTCTAGTAGCGACGCGTAATACACGAGATGGTTCCAGGCTTTCTAGCCCACTCACTTGTAGTATAGAAGGCCTGACTTACCAAAAGACAAATTA